GTAACAATGTTATTTCTTTTCAGAATACAGGGTCTGGCATTGCCATTTTAAGAGTACAGGTTTCCCTGACTTTATGCAGGTTCTGTATGTATGAATTCGCTCTTATGCGATGACCTTTATACCAAAAACTTTGAATTTACCTCACATATAACCTCTTATGCAATCGGTGTGGTGGAAGCCCGCAGTCAGCTGCTTTATGAGGTGCATATTGTGGAAGTGACACGCACCAAAATATAGTCTCCTGTGTAGATCTGTGCTCCTCACTTGTTGTCTGCAACATGTGTTTTTGTAGTGCATCCCCACATTCACCACCACCCTGTGCTTGTATGTACCGTATGCTGTTAGCAAGTACCAAAATTGTCTTGTAGAAATGGGTCTGGGGGTCAGTCCAGTCGTGGTCTTGGAACATATCCCTATTTGTTACATTGTTAAGTGAGTTCCCTTTATGTGAATTCACGTTATGCGCCATTTTCCAGGAACACATGTACCATATAAAGTGAGAGAAACCTCTTTGCTGCCTCCAAAACATTTCTATTTATCCAGAGAAAACTCTTTGCTGCCTCCAAAACATTTCTATTTATGCAAACAGCTATATTTCTCCCAGTATATAAAAGAAACATTGTGGAATTAAGCATAAAACATAGGCAAAAGATCACTAAATACTGGATGATCATATGACAGAAGAGGTTGATGAAGATGAAATAAAAGTTCTAGGAAAACTTACTTATGGAAAATGTCACTGACACAAGAAATAATATCTGCACAATTATAATACTTGAGCTTTCTTTCTGGATTACTCATTGAAGGCACTGTTGAACTATAACTTGCTGTGGACTCATCTCCTGTTACAGCATGTATTTGTCCCTGAAAAAAGAATGCTACAATTTTCTGTTACACTCCCCACCCCCAATCCAATACCTGGACATTTTGACTTTGCCTGTAGATGGTTCACTATGAAGCAATTTCATTGAGTACTTTGGTAGCTGCTCAGTTACAACCTTGGCTATATAAGCAGCTTAAAGAAGTATGTCATAGTTATGAATAGTGGTTTGCCATAATGGATCCTAGATTGTGATGTCTTCAGATTTAAAATGGGGGCAAGGAAAAGGAAGAGAAGTTCCATGAACTGCACAGCAATGCTGCTCTTACCACATCTATAGAATGAGGTAAGGGAATAGTACTGCAGAAAAGGGATTCAGTACTGCTCTAGGCCTTGATCTTATGGTATAAAACAAAAGTGTCAAAACTTGTCTGGCCCCGTGGGCTGAATGAGTGACACGGGGCCAGTCCACAGTTGGACTGGGCCAATGGGCCCACGGACACCCCCCCACCGCCCATGCCAGACCCAATGCCTGTAGCACCAGCTCTGACCGCTCTAGGATTCAGGCCATGTGAGATGTGCATCCTAGAGTGCCAGGGCAAGTGTCACACTGCATGCAGTACCTGCTCCAGCATGAGGGCTCTGCATATCAAGGATACATGCCATACACTGTATGCCTGCTCCATCAGATCTGGGCCTTACACTGTACATGATACCTATGGGCACTATGTGCAGCACAGGTCCTGGACTGGCTGGAGCAGACACTGCACATCCCAATAATTACATGACCAGAGGACTTCAAAAATTACATGATTTTTGGATAACATTATATGTACATGGGGAGGTCCCTAAAAGAATTAATGGAGTCCTCTGGTCCTACTTCCTGAGTAAAAAAACAACAAAACAAACAAACTGGTGATTCAAAAATCCATTTCTCAATTTAAAAAAAGAAAGAAAAAAAAAAGTCCTTTTCTGCCCCTAATAATGAAATAAGTATAATATGTGAGGCTGATGGTAGGGAATGAATGTATTCATGTTACTCACAGATGGCATTTAAAGAGAGGAAAAAAAAAAGGAGAGGGGTATAGAAATATGGCTGAATTGATTAAATACAACCCAAACCAGAAAATTAGATTTGACAGCAGATTCCAGAATTTTTTTTTCCTAAATGGTGACAGAGATGGGGGTTTGTAGATGTTTAAGGCACCTCTAGAAGGTGTACAAGAATGTACTAGAAGCATTTAATGCATTCTCAAAGTCTTCACATCTTCAACTGTGCCATATTGCTATGAGACTGTGCCAAGGACACACTGAGACTTTGACTTTGTACTACAGGAATAATAGCTTGGCTTATGTATTCTTCAGGCTCACTCTCTCCTGTAACAGATAGAAAGTTAATAGTAGCTGCAGTTTAAAATTTAAGCGAGTCTTCATTCTTTCCTGCAAGACCTGGGTTCATTCCACGTAGAAGACACTTAGAGGTTTAGTTCACCGAATACAGACTTACGGGTGCAAAGCCAAGCAAAAAGCTACTAGCTTAAAGAACATTTTATGACTAACAGAGCTACAGTTGATAAATTGGGGGTGGGGCCTGTATATGAGCCATATATCTGATAGGGATAATGCATATAATTCAAGAGAATAAATGTAATACAGAAAATAAAGTCTGCTCAGAAGTCTTTGGAGTGGCAAAATAGACTAGAATATGAATACTTATTTCCATCTGCTTGTGCAGCTCTGTGGATAACCACTCTGAAACATCAATTACTGGACCTTCACACAGAGCAAGCACACTAATAACTGGCACTTGGCCGTCTCCTCCAATCTATGTAAATAAAGCATAAAAGCAGTGTGTGAAACCCCAGATCACCGAAGGGTATGGAAGTCTTTCAATTAACTACAATAGGACCAGGATTTCATCCAGAATCTCTTCCAGACAATTCTCTCTTCTTTCTACTTATTATTCTTTTGCTGTTGCATTGGATGTATGGAAACTCCAGTGTTCTATATTCTTTGTGTTATTATTTTAATAATTCTTAAATAGCAATTCTGAAGATGAAACGGTGCCTTAAAATGGCTATGCTGTAGACAAAAAAGAAGGTAAGTTTTACTTACCAATTAAATACATGCAGCTGTGTCTGAGAAGCATAGACTAGTTTGTGTACCACTTGAAAAATTGCTCAGTGTTTGTGGCCAGAATTTAGCAAGACTTTAACTGATTTAACACCAGATTAACACTGAGAAAGAAAGACTGTTCCCACTATTCCAGTGGAGGGAAAATAATTTTAAAATCCTTTAAACTTGTACACATTTAAAAATATTTTATTAGATTTCCTTCTCCTTTGGAGAAAGCTGGACAACAGAACATGAAATATTTTTTTCCATGCAAATATTTATGTTTGAGGGTTTTTGCTTTTTCAGAGACTTTTTCAACTTTTCCTCAGTCCAAAAAATCTGATGCATTTAATTTATTCAAGATGGAAATGGTATGAGTCTTGCTCGGTACACTTCTTGACATCCATACAGTTCTAATTTTAAACCCATAGATATTAATTCAAGTCAAAATTAAGATCGGTAAGGGAGATACTTATCAATGTTTTAAGTACACAAGCACCTGAATGTTGTTTAAAACTCCAATATTTGTTCATCTTCCTGTTCCAGTTCCTCACTTTCAAATTAGGAAGCAGCACAAACAAGAATCAAAAAATGAACACGCAATGCAAAAATCATAAAACTTTTAGTAAACCTATTTGATGAACTATGCCCTATCACTTCCAGGTTTCAAGAAAAAGATGCCAAAAACTCTGTGCGTTTCACAAAAATAAATAAATAAATAAATAGTTCTAAAGTTTGCCTTCCTTTAGCAACTGTTTTGAATCTAGGATAGGCTCTTTGCTTATACAAATGTCTCTCCAGTGATTCAAACTGAGTTCTGCCCAATTTTTTCCTCACTTAAGATGGACAATGGGCTCATTGCTTGTTGTTTAGAGAGAGAATGGCTATTTTGATTGAAGTATCTTTCCTGGTTACTAGATTCACCAATACTGAACATGCATAGCTAAATTCTTGTATTCATTTTTTCTTCCAATAAGAACATAAGAAGTGCCATCCTGGGTCAGAGCAATGGTCCATCTCCAACAATGGCAGGGGTGGATGCTAGAGAAAGCACTGAACTGGATACATCCAGAGTGATCTATTCAATATCCTCCCTGGCATCCAGCATTATTGATTTAAAGATGCCAGAGGAAAAGAAACATTTCCAATCATTCAGCTCAACAGATCCATCATCCATGAATTTATCTAATCCCTTTCTAAAACTTGGCTAAACTATCTGCCTCCACCACCTTCTGTGACAATGAATTCCACAAATTAACTATGTTGCATAAATAAGTAGTCTCTCCTCAGCTGTAAATCTGTCACCTACTAATTTCAGTGGGTGTCCCCTAGTGCTAGTAGTCTGGGACATAAAGAACAAGTTCCCCGTACCTTTGGTCCATGACCTTCATGATTTTTTACATCTACTGTTTCCCCCCTGCTCACCCTTATAACTCTCCTTTCCAAACTGAAGAGTCCTAGCCTTTTTTGGCCTCTCCTGGTATGGATACTGCTCCTGGCCCCTGACCATTTTAATCATCTTTCTCTGTACCTTTCTAGTTCTAGTACATCCTTTTAAAGATGTGGGAACCAGAGTCACACTGCATTCAAAATGTTCGTGCACTAGGTATGTGTGTAGTGGCGTGATGATGTTCTCCATTTTGTTTTCAATTCCTTCCTTAATGATGCCCAACATTTTATAGACTCTTTTGGTCACCGTACACACTGAGCTGATGTTTTTAGGGAACAGTCTACAATAACTTCAAGGTTTCTTTCCCAAGTTGTAACAGCCAATTCAAAACCCAGCATTATGTATACCTGGGGTTATTTTTCCTCAGGTGCATTACCTGGCACTTGTTGACACTGAAGTTCACCTGCCTTTTTTTTTTTTTTTTAACCTCACTCACTTAGCTTAGTGAGATCTTTCTGCAGCTCCTCTCAGTCAGCTTGGAACTTGACTACCCAGAATAATTAGGTTTCATCTGCAAACTTGATGTTACTGTGCATCCCCACTTCCAGGTCACTGTTGAACAAAACAGGGCTCAGCAAAGATCTCTGTGGGACCCCATATTTGACCCCCTTCCATCCTGAAAAGTGAGCATTTAACCCAGAGATGGGCAATTATTTGGGCCAGAAGGTAACAGGGAGTTTTGGTGAACTGCTGCAGGCTAGGTTAGCAGCATTGCACCCTCTCCCCCCAACAGCGCAGCAAAACTCCCCAGAGTGGTTCTGCTCAGTGCTGAGCCAGGAGGTTGAGATGGAGGCACAGATGCGCTGGGGAGTGGCATTTGAGAGCAGGATGGTGGGTAGGGCTGACCCAGAACTGGGATCGCAGGGCCATGTCACCACGGGGCTGGGGCAGAGTCGATCCACTCCCTGCAAGTCCCTGTGACAGGCACTGGTTAACTGCAGGCAGAGGTATGCAGGGAGCAGATTGCAGCGCTGCCCTGGCCCCACACTTTCACCGACTCCATGGAGACTGCCTGGGACCTGCGAGGGCAGGGCACACAGCCAGTTGGATGAGAGGTGGCCACAGGTCATGGGGAGCTGCATCTGGGAGCAGAATGGGTGGGCAGGGCCGGGACATTGAGGCAGTGACAGCACAGGGACTGGGGCCCAAGGCAGAGCCATGATCCACTTGCTGCACGTCCCTGTCCACAGAACTGGCACCCTATGCAACTCTCCCGCTCCCAGATGCTACTCCCTGCCTGACTGTAGCCCCATCCCATCTGCCCAGCCAGCAGTGGGTATGGGATGAACAGGCCAGGGTGCATGGGCAGCAGCCAGATGAAATGGCTGCTGCCAGGAAGTAAGCCCAGCCACTGCGCCACCCAGCACTGCTAAATGCCTAGGGGTAGCGGGACCAGCTACATGAGCCACAGCCTGGGCTGTGCCCTACATGAGCCACAGCCTGGGCTGGACAGGGCAAGGTGACCCGCTGTAGGCTGGACAAAATCAGTGCACCAGATCCAGGCTCATGGGCAGTATTTTGCCCACCCAATTTAGCCCTACCCTTTGATTTCTATCTTTTAACCAACTGTCAAACCACAAAAGTGCCTTCCTTCCAATCTCATAATGCAGTATATATAGTTTTTAAGCCTTTGGTAAATGCTTTTTTTTTTTTTTTTAAATCAGCAATATAGTCAGCATTGCACTCAATAGGGAGCCCTGAAGACCTATTTTATTATATATTTTAGAGATAGCCAAAAATATCCAATTTTCTGCTGACGTTTCTGAAATATTACCATTTAGAGAAAATTGCTTTCACGTACATTTCACAAAGATTATATAATGTGTGTCATGTCACTTTCTTCAACCTTTCAGTACCTTTTGAAATGTTTAATGATTCGCTCCAGCATGTATTTAGACTACCTTTTGAATTCAGTTATTATTTCACTGATCAACATCAAAGTACTCAGCACTGTTCAAACACTAACAATAGTCCCTATCCTTGGGAACTAACATACTTTTAGTGACAAGAGTTTATAAGCAAGGAATGTATAGTGCAACATACATCAAAAAATAGATCTGGACCCTTCACATAATTACATAAATAGTGTATCACTGTACACGTGCAAGTCAATGGGAGATGCCAATTGATTTAATGGGCACTTGATCAAATCTATGCCATGTGAATCAAGTTACATACCCTGACACCAGTTAATCAGTTGCACCCAATTCTCTTGTGTGTCCGAGTGAAGCCACATTCTAGCTAACAGAGGGTCCTCATGCGGCATTAAGGCTTAAGAAAATATCCAACACTGCCTTCCCCACACTGGCACAAGCACAAACGGATCACGGCCTGTTATTCCTAAAGCCCAGCAATCTTAAAGGACCAATAACCGTTAGGGACAGTAGCAGCCAGCACGCTTTACGTTGGCCTTCAGGCTTCTCTAATGTACACTAGAATCGCCTCGATGACTCCAGGATCTCTCTGGGATCAGCAAGGTGCCACCTCTCCCATGGGTTAAGTGCCTTTTTGCTGCAGCCCAGGATCCTGCCCTTGACATAGATTTCATAGACATTAGGGGCTGGAAGGGACCTTGCGAGATCATCCAGTCCAGCCCCCCTGCCACAGGCAGAAAGTCTGCTGGGGTCAAATGATCCCAGCAAGATAAGCATCCAAACACTTTTTGAATGAGTCCAGAGTCGGTGCTTGCACCACCATAAGTTTGTGGCCGTTAGACCTTGGGGAGCCCTGGCGAACAACTGTTCTCCCACAGCCTGGTATATATACTCAGGGGCATAGATGAGACCAGGCCTAGAGGAGACCCAGGCACTGGGCCTCAGCTCCCTTATCAAACACCCGCCTAGGCAGGGCTATGCCAGGCATTCAACAGCCCGCTCCAGATCAAGTCCTCGGTTAAACAAACAAAACAGCGCAGTTTGGACACAGCAATTCAGACGGCTGGCTCCCAGGAGAGACCGTCAATCACACTTTGCGGGGGGGAGCAAGAACAGGAACAGGAGGCCTTAAGCTGCACAAGGCTGGTACAAATGAGTGCGGCAAAGGCAGCCACAGGCCTCTGCCAGCGGAGGGGCTATTTCCCTCCCCAGGCCGTGCGCAGGGAAGC